CAGAGGCGCAGCGACAGAGGCGGCAATGAGTTTTATTGCCTGGCCACAGCATCAGCTGTTGCAATTTGGGGTCACTGTTGACACAGAAACGCACTTTTTGAGTAGCTCGCGTCAGTTTTCGGCTAATTAGTGCACAATTATTGGCGTGGCAGTTGCGCTTTTTTGCAATTTTCCACTTTTCCGCGATTGCAGGCAGTAATAAATGAAAACATTTTTCTTTTGCCTTGCTTGTTGTTGCTGTTGCGCTCGCCGTTGTTTCTCTCTCTTTTGTTCGCTATACGCCGTCGAACTGGTAGACACTGTTATGCTCTTCGCTCTCATTGGCGACTAGGCGTATGATGACGACGGTGACTGCGGCAGCGACGCTAACGTTGACGTCAGTTTGCGAGCAGCAACGAAATGATGACCGAAAAATCTGACTATGGGTGCGTGGTACACGCATATTCTCCTTAAATTTTGCATTGCTTTACCGCCTGGATTCATACAAATGCATTTTACACGCTCCGCGCTCGATTCGCATTTAATTTTATACTTTCTATAAACTTCAAATGCACTAAAGATCGAATAACAACTTGCTTCTTCTCTTCCAAAATTTTCTCTGAATGAGAGTGTTGTACAGTGGCAGCAGATGGCGTTTATCAGCACTGAAATTATCTTGTAGCCTATCGGCCATCCGCCACAACTTGCCAAAGCAAAACTGTTGTTAAATCGAATCATTTGAATCATAAATACGAGAACACATTCATTTTATTTGAGTTGATGTACAGTGTTCTTTTAATTTTTTTATTTTACTAGGTACACACACCAGAAGCAGGAAATGACGACTAATGCCAGTACTAACCGAAAATCATCAAGAAATAAAATATGTTTTTAAAATTCTGTGAAAATTGGTAAATAATTTCACACCACGAAACTTATAAGTATTTAGAAAGGTATTTCAGATATGTTGATACCTTCGTTTTTAGAATTACCCATAGATTTAAAAACCTCCTAATCGCAATATAAATTTCAATTGTATCAAATTGAAAATTAATAGATTAACAAATTTAACATATATTTTTAAGTAAATAAATGTATTTTAAATATAGTTTTTGTGTAAAAACATTATTTTATTAGCCATATCATGGAGAGAACCCTGACTATAATTTCCATCGATTAATAAACTTCGCGCTTTCTCAAATGCTTTTTCCGAAGACGCACTGGAGGCGGGCGTACCCAAAACTCTGCAACTGGCTCGATATAAGAGTGGAAAATTATCTTTATTGGTGTACCACCAATTCAAAACGTCGTACCCATCGTTTAAGGGCACTTGTAGATCTGAATATCTACGAATTTCCTTCAAGATTCGATCTTCAGATGTGTGCACGGCAACGAAATCAGAGAACAGATCGTCATCCAATTCCTGCTTGATTCGTACTTCGGTATCTGTGCTCTTGATCTCAATGGGACAGTATCTTTTCATCAGAGTTTTGCACTCCTCTATTGTCTGATCCTTTTCGGCCTGTGTGCATTGCAGCAATTGATTAGTGGGTGGAAAAAGGAACATGGCCATTTTATGGGGCTTGGCAATATGGTTTTTTACTAATGATTCCAAACAATCAGTCAGTCTTAGCTTCGTTTGTGATTCTATTTTGGTGCTACACGGACTACCGCACAGTTTTCTCAGTCGGTGAATATGTGGGATTACCAGATGCAGCGTTGGCGACATCTCAGCCTCCAGATTTTTACGGCATTTCTCAAAGTGGCTGAGAATGTGCACAATCGAAGAAATGTCATTAATATTAATATTTCCCATCGAGTCGAGGCCACTTTCACCTCCGCACAAATTCAATATGTCCATCCAATTGGCTTCTATTGACTTCAGCTTGCAATAAATGCTGTGACATCTGGTTGCAGAGTAGTCAATCAGCTGGTTCCCTAAGCTCATGGACGCACCAGACTTTTGCAAATACTTGAGAAGTTCGTTGGCCTGGCTTAACATTTCCTTGAGCCCGCTTACTTCGTCGAATGTTCTCTCGATGATGTTGCTGAGCAAATGACTAATACAGTGTATTTGTCCATCTTCGAGGACATCGGATATGCTTAAGTCGGCAGATGATACGCAGATCGGATTGTCTTCCCCCATATCACAATCGAAGTCGCTCAAGATCCTCTCAACTTGCGATTTTAACTGCAAGCCTGTAAGGATAATAATTCGATGTTAAATATTTCTTAAAATGGAAGGTGGCATATAGGGCTTACCTGTGCAGGACACCTCATCCAAGGTGCTCACTGCGAGCAGCCGGCTCGCCAACGAGCTATCCTGGACGTAGTTTATGGTCACGCAGAGGTGTCTACTTCTCACATTATCCGGCCAGCTGCTGCACGCTATGCTATATCCATTGGCTCTGGCTGCGCACACATCCGATCGCACTTTCTCCAGGGTATCTTGGTAACAGGCGTCAATGTTGGCGGAAAGGGTTGACACCTGAGGCATGAGCTCATCTACCTTGAGGTGGCTACCGAAATTAGCTCCGATTTCAATTAGCAGCGCGGCCAATTTCCTGAGTCCAGTGTCCTCAGAGATGTTCAGGGGACGGCAGTTTTCGACGGCCCACTCTGCCAGGGCATGAGCCAGTTTTTCCTTGGTTTCTTCATCGAAATTAGACGGGCTATTTTGTTCTTCCAAGAAGTCTGTAGTATCTGCGCCATATTCACGGTCTTCAGTACTTTCACGTAGTTTGCAGGTTCTCAGCTTAACTGATTTTATTTCCTTAGATGATTCGTTTGGATCCAAATCCTCAATTGCGTTTTTGTAGCATTTGTGCCTTACCAAATTTGACGTGCTCCCATTAAATTTAAAGACACTTGGGCACGTTCGGCAGATAACATTCTTAAGCTCCGTTCCATTTTGATCCACAACTCTGGAAAACACATTCCATACTCTGCTCCGACTTCGCTTGTTGACGACCTTAAATTCTCCACTTTGAATTCTGGCTCTAATGGAATCGTTGTCATATTTCATTTTCTTATCCGAGTCTTTTATGAAAAGTAGAAACAGTAGACATGTTTGAAAAAGTAGATGAAACACAATATTGAGAGTGAATTTGCGGATTCATGACTCATTACCTTTTATCGAGTGGATTGGTTTGCGGCACGGCAATCAGCACAGTATTATTTTCAGACTTTCTAAATATGTGAAATGATTTATCATATAAATCATTTGGCTGTATCTGTGGTTGGCCACTTACTGCTTCTGTTTATTATATTTATGCTTTACGAATTGCTAGAATGAAACAATTAGTTACAAAGAATTGAACCCAATAGCAATAGGAGTAATTGTATTTCAATAATAAAGATGCCTATCGGCCAACCGCCATAAGCAATCGGCGCTAAAGTGCTGGATTTTAGGCTCATGTAAACCATACGGAATCAGTAAGAAAATGCAGAACCAAGACTTTAAACAAATTGAAGCTAGCAAAAGGTAATATCCAAAAGCAGTTGCAAGCTGCTGGCGTTATACTTTAAATCGGTGAAAGCACTTTTCGTTGCCAATAAGATCTTTCCTTTTATTTATATTTAGAAGCATCAGCTGCTTGTTTGAAGTTTATCGGCTGCCTATCGACTGGCCACCACAAATTTGCGGTAAGCAGATGGTCAATATGAATCGTGTGAATCATAATATATTGAACGATTTGAAGCCAATTGCTTTAACATTATCTTTTCTTCAAAGTTTTTCCTAATTATCATAAAACAACTTTATTCTTATAGTAGTTGTTTATATAGTATTTTCTTAGCGATGCAAGCATAATTGAATATAAACTCTAAGCATTCGATGGCATGGCGGAGGTCCCAATGAATCAAATGTAACTAGATCATAGAAATAATGATAGCTGAGCTTAGCTAACTGCGATTATGACTTAATATTTAAGCATTCCAAACTCATTGTTCCCCAAGTTGGAATATTTTGCTCTTTATTGTATTGTTTATTTATTTGCTGTTTAGCAAATCATGTCTATTTACATACATATGCTAACTAGACCTATTAATTTTTTTATAAGCAATGAACATTTAATAGGTGAAATTTATATTCTGTGTCCTTTTTTGAATTTGAATCAACTTTAGCACATTTCAGTTTGTTATTTAAAACTGTATACATCTGTTGATAAATAATGGTTTGTGACGTCACACTTCTTCGTGTACTTCTATGCAAGTGTTGTAAAAAACTGCATAAATTGAACTGTCGTGCTTTGCAACACGGTTTTGTGCGTGACTGAAAATCGTGACATGCGTGTCGCAAAGTACATTTTACGTTTTGGTTTTTACATATTTTCTGTTAATACCGCTTGAATAGGAGTAGCAACAATGCACGTCGAAAAGAAATCGGAATTGAGAAGTCTTCTGAAATCGGGTGACAAGCGCTGTAAATTGGTGGAGCCTCGAAACGCAAAGAGCTGCGTTTGGCGATTCTTTAACCTGGTGTCTTGTGATGATCGAATAGAGCCGTATGCCTGTTGTAAAACCTGTGGCGATCTGTTGTCGTACAGCGGGAAAACAGGAACTGGTAGTCTATTGCGCCACAGATGCTTGCACACGACTAACGGTAAGTTTTGGATCTGATATTCACGCACGCCCCCTCACACTGCCACGCGTGTTCAGAGCGGGTAGCTCTGTTGTTGTCATCGCCACCGCTTGTCCTAGTGCTGTGTTATGTGCTCTGCATTTGCATGTTGGATAGATAATTGTGTCAATGCAGTCGGATTTGTCAAGTTGACCCTTGATATTAAAATTGGTTCTTTCATTTAAAAGCACCATGGTGTCTGCTGAGGGTATTCAAGCTGCGAATAAGTAGTAGTGTTAGAGGTCGTCGAATAATTGAGACCCAGAAAATAGTGCTGCTTTGTTAATTGTATATAAAGTTGGAAATGTGTCGTTCAGTGCTTTGTAAAAACGTATAGGAATTAGTTATGTGCTGTTTAGGTTTATTTATTTTCTTTGTTTTGCTTGATTGAAACGTGTCGTTTCGCAACACTGTTTCTCGCCTGAATTTTCCAACACCGGCGCCAACAACGCTAACATCGCTATTGCGTTTTTGTGGGAAAAAATTATAATTGAGAAAGTTATTTTGTAAAAAAAAACGATTTAAAATGCCTAAAGGTCGCGTTAGCAGTGTTTGGCAGCATTACGATATCAATGAGGAGTGCGAAAACTTTGCAGTTTGTCGCTATTGCGGCAATAATATATCGCGTGGTGGCATGGCCAGCAACCTGAAGGGAAACAACACCACCAATCTGTGGACACACTTGAGGCACAAGCACGCTGATGAGGTGCTGGTCAATCCCATACAACAACGCCCAATTAGCCGACCTGCAGTTATTACTCTAAAGAAAGGTACGCCAGCTGCAGTGCTTATCACAATATTTATTGACCTATTGACGCACCTATCGATCCCGCGCGACTGTCCCCAATTGGAAACTATCGCAAAACGATGACGCCCAGCCCTGCTTTACAGCTGGGAGCCGGCAATTTATTGACATATGATTAATATATATCGTATTGCGCATCTGTAATTGTGCTTACACTTATCCTTTCAGAAAAAACTTCGCGCATCGCGAAGGCTAAAGTTGTGCGGGAGCCGCTTCGTGTTGCGAAACCAAAAATCGATGTGCATGCATCCATAGCTGGTGCGCTGCCCCAGAAGTGGGAGGAGTACGAGCAAAACGACGAGGTCAGCGAGGACATCAAGGACATTATATACAGTGAGGATCCGCTCTGCTACAGTCCCATCCAAGTGGTTGAGGATGAAATGCTAGATGCTGGCGAAAAAGTCACCGTGGTGAGCAGCAGCAGGGCAACTACTAATCCAGTTGTTGCCACCGTCGTCTCAGCTCCCACAAGCGCTGCAAAAACATTGAAAAACAACTTGGAAACATCCATTGAACGGCTGACCACGGTCAGCGAGCAGCTTAGCTACGTTATTCAGCAGCAACAGGAGGAGCAGCAGCTCAAAGATGATGACTACTATTTTGCGTTAAGCCTGGTACCCATTATGCGACAACTGTCGGTGAGCCGTAAGCTTTACGTCCGCTCGAAAATCCATGAAATTTTGTACAAAGAGAGTGAGGAGACTAGCACTAAAACTGAATAATAGGACAAGATTAAACTATGGATATACATAAATCATTTTAAACTTACCCAAGAAGAAGAAGAAGCAGAAATCAATACAAAAAGAAACGAAAAAACAAAAAAAAAACACAAAAATTGTAACATTTATCTTATCAACAACTATTCATATAGGCTAAAATGTTTCTATGTACGTTTGTTAACGTACCGTTTGCAATTTTAGTTGGAACATATATTTAATAAGCACATATGTTGAGACGAATTCGTATTGATAATTTAGCATGTATGTATGTATTCAAATATTTAATGCAAAACTCTTACAAAACGCTAATAAATTTACCTAAGACCTCCAAAGTGGATTCCTCATTATAACTACTATATATACTTTACTTAAGCTCCAATAACTTGCATATTTGTGTGTACTGCAACATTTCGAAATAAGAACAGAACGACAGTTAAATGTTGTGCAAGTAGCTTTCGGTTTAGTTACGACACTTCCCATATTCAAACTATTCTTTGCCAAAATATGTAAATCTGAATACGGATACCTTTGCGGTGTCTAGTCAGAAACTGCGATGTGTTATAACATGATTAAGAGTAAGAGCTGTAGTACACATTCAAAAGTTCTATAGGTGTACATATTTTGGGTATATAGTTTCTAGCTGTTATAGTCTTGGATATCATAGTAGTGACAGAGGGGGACAGAGCTATATCGATTCGGCTTTTTATCAGTGTCTATCTCTATATAAAAAACTGTTTGTGCTTGACTGACTTATTGGTGATCAACGCAGAGCTCAAACCGTAAGAGCGGGGAAGCTGAAATTTGTACTGTAGTTACCTCATGTGATGGGGGTGCACCCTACGACGGGGCTTTCCAATTCCACTGGCAAGTGCGTGAAGATTTGAACCACTTTGTTGCTTATCAAGTTACCTTTACCAAATTCCACTTTTACACATTAAACTATGTTGCTTGTAAATGAGCCAAATCTTACCAAGATCGCAATTCTATATTATTTAGCTCTATAAGATGAATTGGTAAAAAAAAAATATTTTTTTATAGAAAATTTTCTGTTTAAAATTTTCTTTTTTTTTATCAACTTCAGCATTAACGAGTTTCAATATTTTCTTATATCGGAAAACCCGTAACTCAAATAGTTGTAAGTGAATGAAATCTTCGGCGTATCGAAGAAATCCGTACTTTCACGTTTAACATATATATTCTGCAAAACCATAAGCATAATTCTACTAGGGTATTTAATATGTTTTTGTATCCAAATTTGATAGATCTATGCAAATATCATATTAGATATGCTCCATTCCGGAAAATGAGTAAAAGTCCGCACAAAGCCGTGACAAAGAAGTATAACTAATGAAATAAGTTTTGATTTCGTTAGTTTATTTATGTTTTAAATAAATTTTATTTAAATAACTTGTTGAGATTTACAAAACAGAGAGCATTACTAGAAGTATAATTTACAAATCGATTTCTGGAGCTAATTTGTGTGGCTTACGCAATGCTTACAACTAGAAATATGATTTGTATCAATAATGCATTATTATTATTTTTTTATTTATTTATTTGTTTTTTTTTTGCTTCTGTTTAGCTTTCAATAGATATAATACAATATCAATACAATAAACCCTACAGATCGAGTAATAAACAATAATCTTACTATGTATATGCAACCCCAAATATCGTCTATATTTTATAATATGTATATGTTTCTATATGTATTCGTATATATGTATATACGCTTAATCTCTAGTCAACAAATGTTCGGTAGTTGATTAATCTTCGATTTTGAATAGCGGATGTGTTGATTCCTATGAAGGGACTCTAGACTTACGACTTTATGTTAAGTTATTTAATGCAATTGTGTGTTCTGATGGGATCGATTAAGTGCACCTTATGACTGCCAAAAACTTTGATAGCTTTTATCGTTAATGCTTAGTTAATTTTTTCAAATTGAATATAATGCAAAATTTCAACTGGCTGAATGTATTTGGGTATAATTAGCTATTCGTAAGCAGCCCAGCCATATTTTATTTTATTTATATTTTTTGTAAATTGTTATTTGTAAGGTATATATCATTTTGATTATGGTTCGTCTATGAGAGATATGAGTACGACTGGAAATATGTATAATTTGATTAATCGATCTCCAAATAAATAATATATGTATATTAATTTGTATATCTTGTTTTTTTTTCGGTATTTAATTTTCGTATACAAGCATTTAGATATATCCAAAATTTATTTAACTTTATTTTCGTATGACTCTCGGATCATCATAAGTATCTAGCATAGGTGTGTATGTAAATTGGTATATTTTGTTCTATTCACAGTTCCGATAACTACATCCAATAAATATTTGATATATATATATATATATGTACATATATCGATTAATCAAGCAAATCTCAAGTGTGCAACTAACCGGAACCGGCCAGGACTTTGCCAAGAAATGGTCGGTTCATGTTTATTGACACCGGACTATCTTAGGTCTTAGTTTATAGAGCGGGCCGCAGTCCACGTATGATATGAGTTGCTGTTGTATTCATATGTATTCAGTTATTTGATATGGACTTAAAACATTTAGTGTATTTTTTTACAAGGACATTTATCAAAAGGTAATCAATCAAAAATAAACAACTTGTTCTCATTTTGCATATTTATACAATAAATATTTAGTGTATTTGAAATATCGTTGAGTTTGGAAACATTTGCATCGCTTATTGCACTTTCGAGCGTCTTTCTGTTCATATCTTTGTCATTCGAGCGGGGATCTCGGAGCGTGTGGGCCAATAGCTTCCCTTAATAGTAATATTATTTGGTTGATGTCACCAGCTGACTGGTGCTATAGCCCTGTGTGTTGCAGGTGGGCAGGGCGAATGGGTTGAAGCTCAAGCTGCTGACTCCTGCAAGAAAAAAATAATTGCTTAGTATTAAAAAGATCTATTGAAATCACCCTCTCATGACAACTAACTTAAAATGAACTAACTCTACATATTTATTATTTAAAAAACTTAAAGCATCTGAAATATTTGATTTATTCATATGTCTAGTCGCCCTAACAAAAGTTTTCTTTACTATCCCAAAAATATCTAAGAAAATAAAGTAATAATTGAAATTAAATTGTCCGCCTAATGGTATGCTAAGTTTGTCGAACATTTACTTGATTATCTATGTTCCGAAATTCGATTTCGATTCGATATCACTATTTTTGTTGTTGCATACTTTTAAGGGATTTCCGAACTAACATGTCGGTTTTTCGGTAATATAAACCAGGGCTGCCAAGCCCATAAAAATTGACGGCTTTTCAGAGTATTTGGTTCGTGAAGCTGTTTTTGCACATCCTTAAGCACATTTGGTTGGTTCGAAACTTGGATAAGTGTATATTTAAAAAATTGTAATGAATATTTTTAACTTTGTGTGACTAATGAAAAACTCTTTTTAAAGCAAGATGCTGTTAGGTTTGACTTCGGTTGCCTTTCGGGTAAAAAATAAAAATATTAAATTGGGTTCCGAGCTTGAATCGACTCGTTGCGGCACGTTTTGCCGCTGAATTAGCCGTCTGGCCGACCAGTACAAGCAAATGCAAGGGAATAAAAGTAGAACTCAGTTAAGCTTAGTGTTAAAAGTGATTTGAAAATAAAAGCAGCCGGAATATGCAGAAATATTCGAAAAGAAATTGTACAACGTATATGATCAAAATGTTGAAAACATTCTAAATACCGTAAATATTCGAAATATTCGATATATTCGAAAAGAATTGTACAAGGTATATGATAAAAATGTTGAAAAGCTATAAATACCGTTAATATTCGAAAAGAAATTGTACAACACATGTGATAAAAACATTGAAAAAATTATAAATACCCTTAATATTCGAAATATTCGCAAAGAAATTGTACAACGCATTTGATAAATACGTTGAAAATTATAAATACCGTTAATATTCGAAACATTTGAAATATTCGCAAAGAAATTGAGCAACGCATACGATAAAAATGTTGAAAAACTATAAATACCGTTAATATTCGAAAAGAAATTGTACAACACATGTGATAAAAACATTGAAAAAATTATAAATACCCTTAATATTCGAAATATTGGGAATATTCGCAAAGAAATTGTGCAACGCATATGATAAAAATGTTGATAAAATTATAAATACCGTTAAACAAGTGTTGGTTGTGTGTTGATGTTGTTGTTGTTGCTGTTGTTGATGTTGTTGTTGTGGTGGATGTGTTTTATGACGTCGGAATCTCAATCACCAGCTACACCCACTCATCAGAGTCATCGCCGTCGCCGTCGCCGTCGCTGGAGTTGGATGCAGCGTTATCAGCGGCGGTGCCCATTGTCAGCAGGCGCCAGTCAATGTGATTTTTTTGTGGGCGTCTCTGCTTGCCTGCCGATAAGGTTGTGCTTTCCATGTGTGTGTGTGTGTGTGTGTGTGTGCGTGTGTGTGTGTCTGTGGGGGCCTGTTAGCTGCTCCAAGCTCCGTGCTGTTGTTGCTGTTGCTCTGCTTCGTCCTCATTGCCTGGTGCCTGCTGCGCTTAAACGGCCGCCGCGGTCGCTGCTGAGACGGCAGGATTGTGCCAGGGCTGGTGCGGATGGGGATAATGATGCGGGTGGGCGGCGGAGACATGGTGATGCTGCACGAGGGCCGAATGCCAAGGCGTTGACACGGACACTGTTGGGGATTAATGTCGAAAAGGCACTTGCTGAGCAAATTTGGTTTCACTTTGTGGGCAGTCGAGTATTCGAGTAGGTGTTTGTTTTTTTTTTGGGTATCTTATGAGTGGTTGGCTTATGAAAAAAAAAAACAGAGCTTAAATAAAACTAAACTAAGCGCGAAAAAAACAAATTGGAAATAACCATCAGCAATCTAATAATTTGCTTTTAGACTTGTTCAAAGACATCAAATGAGTTTGGAGCTGCTGAAGCGGGCTTCGGGGCGATTCATGAACATCCCATAGTTCGGATGGGACCTCAACATATTTCGTATCAGTCTCTTCTACCATGTACATAGATTATAATACATATTTTTAAAGAAAAGGATTCTAATTATTGTCGATTTGGTAAAATCAGAATCGCATAGAGAATTATTTTGCTGATTATTAAACCAAGCAATTTGTTAAATTTAATTGGTTGTGTAAAAATACTGAGAAATAATGAGAAATACCAAATATAAAAGTGAAATGTTTCTTGACGCTTATAATTCCCAACCAGTTAAAGCTTCGGTCAACTAAAGCAAGTTAGAAACGGGAAGTTCTTAATTGGCTGCGAATCAACGTAGCCTAGAAACCGACTTGGGCTTGGGACTGGTTCACTTCGCCATCTCATCTCATCTCATCCCATCTCATCTTCTCTTCTTATGAAGTGTACAAAAGATGGCTAAAGATTTGTATCACGGAAACTGAACAAGCTAGGAGTCCGATTCTTATAATATTTTAAATATGCAGGGCAGAGCTTACTTCTGGAGGGACTCAAGTCTGGGTTGGATCACTTACTTGACGTGGAGTTGAACACGCTGCCCGGCGATGAGGACAGCGTACCCATATTCGGTGCGGGCGCATATCCGTTCGCAGTCGCTGCGACGGCGGCGGAGGTTGCTGTGGCGCCATAGGAGCCACCGGAGCTGTGGGGCGTGGAGGCGCTGCTGCAGTAGCCGCCGCGGGGACTGACGCTGCTCGACTGGGCGCGCTGGTAATCATCCTCGGTCCACTGGCCAGTGCCATCCTGGACGCTAACCGCCAGTTGACCCGCGTACGAGTTGAAGCTCGTGGAACCGCCTGGCGATCTGCTGCAGCAAGAGAAGCGTTAGATGCTTCTGCCGAAGATCGGTTGGGGTGAGCGCTTACCTGGGCATGGAGTAGAGCGCCTCGACGAGATCAGCTGCGCGCTTAAGGATGATTTCCTTTTGTAGCTTCTCCGGATCGCCGGGATGCCGGGGTATCAGTTTCTGCAGCCGCTGGAAGCCATAGTCGATTGTAGGTTCGTTGAGTGCTGCTTGAACGGCATAATTAAAAAGGCGGAAAGCTTAGACATGCTTACGGGAAGGAATCGAAAACAACATCTACTTACAGACATAGACAAAGCGTCCGGGCGAGCCCTTGCAGAACTGCTTGCTCTTGTAGGAGAGCGTCACCTCGACCACGCCGGGTATGTGTCGCGGCGGGGTCTGGACCCGTATCGCGTGCGATGTGATCAGCTCGCTCCACACCAGCATTGTGCCAAAGACCACCTGCAGCCCATCGAAGAAGTTGTCGCCCACAATGATCACTGTGGCGCCACCTGTGGTCCAGCCCTCGCTCGGTGATATCGCCTTGATGCAGGGCGTGGCCACGGGCAGCGGCGGGTAGAGGCCTGAAATTGGTGCGTAAATAAACGGGGTTAGTTTGGGTGAAGACGTTCGGGAAGAGCAGGAAAAAAATCAATAAACGGGTTCGAGTTGCCAATTGCTACAGAATCGAACTGAAAAAAAAAAACGAAAATGAAAGCGCTCCATGAGGGGAGGAAAGAGAGCTAACTAACTAACTGATCGAGTAATTGGAATTTAGTTACAGACCATCGTAGGTACTGTCGGGCGCTAGGGGGTGACCGGATATGGACAGGGATGTGTTGCCTGTACCTTCCGTTGTGTCCAGTCGCTTGGCGCGGCGTCCGTGCTTCGAGTTGTTGTGCACGAACATGTTGTCCGAGATGGCCAGCAGTGGTCCATCCACGGCCACCTGCGTGGAGATGACAACCTGTGAAGAGTGCGGGAAAAGTGCGGGAAAAGGGGGAAAAAGTCTGATTAGAAATTGCAAAGTTTTTTATTTGAATAACTCTTAAGCTAAATTATGTCTAAAATTCATTCCATGATATCCGATTTACAGATCTGTTGAACTATTGTTCCTCTCCGGAGTCTTGTCTTGTCTTCTTCTTAAAGTTAAAGATATTGAGACGTACCTGAAATCTTCTCATGTCCCGCGGATTGCCAGCATTTTTGAGGCAATTCTGATTGCACTTCAAGAAGAATTTGAGAAAAAAGCTGCAAGCACAAAGAATTCAAAGAAACTAATTAGTAATAACTAATGATAATTAATAATAATTATTAATAATTAATAATAATTAATAATAATTCATAATAATTAATAATTATTAATAATAATTAATAATAATTAATAGCAATTACTAATAATTACCAATAATTACCAATAATTACCAATAATTACTAATAAATACCAATAATTAATAATAATTACTAATAATTCATAATAATTACTAATAATTACTAATAATTACTAATAATTACTAATAATTACTAATAATTACTAATAAATACTAATAATTACTAATAATTAATAATAATTAATAATAATCAATAAATACGAAATGAAAAAGGAAAATGATTTGTAGCTGCTCGAAAACACATTCGGCTACTCGAAAGGACAAAGCCGGATTCAGATTGAGGCGGCGTCTCCCCTTTATGAGTTGCTAATGATCCGTTGCGCCTTTCGCAGTTGCCACTTGCCACTTGCCACTGGCCATGGATGCTGCCACGTTTTGCAGCAGATGTTTCGCCTCGGGCTTGAGTCAATCCACTTGGCCCCCCCCCGCTCCCCGTCCTTTGCCCTGGCCCGCGGGCCTGACAGCGCAGCGTGCGATAAGCGCTCGGCTCGGGCTTGGACTCGGGGTGACAGTTATGTGTGTCCTGCAGGCAGGATATTCGAAATTGACACCCGTGTGTCGCGCATTTAAATGGTAAAATATACACACTAACTGCCTACAGCACTCCCCCCTCCCCCTCCCCTCTCCCCCTCCTCGCTCAGCCTCCTGTTGATTTTATTTGCTGAAATAATATTTTGCCGGCGCTGCGGGGATCGCCCCGCCGAATTGGCAGCTACTTTTTCAGTTCTTTTTTCAGGCGTTTTTGTTGTTTCTCACTTGACAAATTGGACAAATTAGTGCAGGGGGCGTGTCGCTCTTGCCCACTCCCCCTCTCTCCCCCTCGACTCTCCCTTCTGGAGTTATGGGGATACAGCCAGGCACATCTGCATATGTGCCATAAATTTGTTTATTTCTGTCCTGATGAAGTGTAGTTCAAGAGGATATCCTCTCGAGCAGCACACGGTGCCTGAGATGTGTTGAAAGGTGTGCGTGTCCTGAGTTTGAAATGTCATATGATATGTGTACTACGTAGATCACATAGCATATATCTGGGTAAATTTGGATTGAAGGACTTGTGGTATATATACTTGAAATGTATTTTATAAACCAAAACCTAACTAAAACAAGCAGATTTATCCATCAATATGTTTTGACACCCAGCCTTAAATACTATATAAAACTTGTGACCCAATCATTGAAATCATCTAACTTTATTTGGAAGGGATTCAAAGCAACAATTGCGATTAAAAATTGTGAATTGAATAATTATTAAAATTTATATCTTTGACAAATCAAGATTTGAACGAAGATCTGGTTTTTGATGATGTGCAAAACGAGATGCACGAATCGAACCTAAAAGTGGACCGACAATTTATTTGCAGTCCAATTCATTCACAACTCTTATATAGATATAGTAAATACTTTATATTTCGAAGTTTAGCTAGGAACAATTTCTTAACTGCAAGATGAACAATTGAGAAATCCAATTCGCAATCATCTAAACAAAAGATTGCCTGGCAAACACCAGACAGATATTGTATCTAGTATATTCGGCATTTTACTTTGCATTTCTTGAGACTGTTTCAATACGTTTTTTATGGATAAAGCATATAATAATAACAACATTTGACGATAGCAAAACACACACAAATTTGACATTCTCGATATGTGAAATTTCAATTTGGATTCGATAAAGTACACGAGTTAACACATGCCAGACCTATTTGGGCTTATCAGAGAATTTGAGTGTGGCATTGGGCACAATTAATTACGAACTCTGTACATTTTGGACTATGAATAATGTACACATATATATAAATATATGTACAGATATGTATATGTGTGCATATAAGGCCACGCGCGCCGAATTGCGAGCTGATTGTGAACTTGTTGAAGCCGGAGTTGGACTCGGGAATGGAAACAGATGTGTGTGTACGTTGTATTTTGTTTTTATCCACGGTGCCAGCAACAACAACAACAACAACAAGCAATATCAACATGAGCAGCATCATTAACACGGCCATCGGCGTTCCCTAAGGGACGGAGCGCCGTGTATCTGTCAGATGCAATATCGAGTTACATAGAGAACCTCACAGATGCAACTGCAGACGACGTTGCTGTCGTCAACGCGGCATTGAAATTTGAATACGTATCGAGTGGATATTGAGAGCTGCTTTTGTGTGGGAATAGGTTAACTCATTTACGGATCATTCACGGTACTAATTTTCTTTTTGTTGCAGCCACCCCCGACGTGCCCCTAGCATGTTGTGCCTCTTTATGGGCAGCTAATTGACTTTCTCGGAAGTAGCGCAGGGGGCAAACTCGCACGCTTGAATTACAATGTTTTCAAATATCCTGACAGGATGCATAAATTGCCCGGACCCGGACCCGGACCGATGCACGGCGCTTGCAGCATAAATCGCAGGATTCCCATTTGCATATGCGCCAAGGGCTGAGAATCCTTGCTGATTCAATTTAAGCTGACATCTTCGCCTTGCTGCTCGACAGTTTTTTTGCCCCCGTCCCCCAATTCCGGCTGGGCAATTAAAAATTCAACGCGCGTCTTGCCAATAAATCAAAGTGTCTCCATCTTCGTCTTGGCTGTGGCAACAAAGTTTCCTGGCCCTCGCTCTGACTTGCTGGCCACGCGAAATTTTCATTTAATGAAAAGCTACGCATCATCAAACGCGCGCACACGACATTGGCCTGGCCAGCAAAATGGCCAGCAAAATGGCCAAAAATGGCGTCCACGGACCCATTGGCATCTGGAGCACGTAGAGCCAACGAAGTGCATAATTGGTCATTCATATTTGGCCCGGACACGGAGCTGCCAATAGCTCCTCGTTTCGGGCTACTTAACAATTCCAAGTAGCTTTAAATTTCAGATGAACAGTTGAAGTGAAAAGGAATTATAGAGTTAAATTGTACACCTATTAAATTTATAGATTTATGCTTCATTTATATCTGCCTATACTGGCAAAAACAATGTTAATCCCATAAAGCGAATAAAAATATCTTCCGGCTTTCATCCTGGGGGATGCATCCTAATGAAGATTCCACCCAACAGAGCGCAAGTAAATAAAATATTTTCAACTTTCGAAAATGGAATATTTAAAAAGTAAATATAGAAAATTTCTGTGCTCGCTTAATGAATTCGTCGATAAATTCTTTAATTTTTTAAAATCAAATTTAAGCACTACAAAATTTTGTAATAGATTATCTTAACTAATTTTTTATGTATAATTTGTTATTACCTAAAAGAATTTTAAGATCACATTTTTGCGAATATCTTGAAAATCATAAAACTATTTTAAACAACATTTTATTCTCTAAATTTTAAGACACTAACCCAAATATTACCTAGGTGAAGAAAGAACTTTTCGTCGAAATATATTTTTTAGGGTATATTGGCTCAGCTGGAAATAATAAATAACCCACAAAATTGGCTAGTTACCTATACTAAAATATTCTCAGGCTTTTAGTAGAGGTTATCGCCATTCAAAAAACAATATTAATTCGAAATAAAAAGCCTTCTGCACAAGGCTTTTAAATTTTGAATTGAAATAAATACGAACAGGTTGTAAACTTTCGAGCTCCCGCGGATATACGAGATGGAGTTTCATGAAGGCTCCAACGATTAACTGCGAATTTGTGAATCAACAACAACAAGAACAAGAGAATTGAGCTTTATCTTTGCATCGCTCGCACAACATTTAATGATGAATACGAACGTGCATAAATCGCTTTGGGTTCTGGCCATGGCTTGGAGCTGTCGGCGATGTTATCTGCCAGCCTTTGGTAGCAGGAGGCGTCAACAGAATGTAGCCGAAAGCGTTTGTGGCGCACGCCAAGCAGCGCCATGGCACAGGTGAGAAGCAACGGCCCCCTCCCCCTTCCGCCACTCTCCCCCTGCTACTTCTACTCGTAGCCGCTGCGGGCAACTTGGCGCTAATTTTTCACTAACGATAATATTCAAAATTTTCAACTTTATTGCCGCATAAAGTCAATGACTATGCCAGACACGAGCACACACAGAGCCCAATGCTGGCAATTTAGCAGTTTTCGAGCTAAATGCGGCTGTCCTCAGAGGTTGTCAGCAGTTAATAGCTGAAATTTGCAATGCGTGCATTTCTGGTATTTATTTTTTTGGTATTTTGAAAAAGTTATTATTCGATTAAGCTGGCCAGTACTGTGAAAGGCGTAGGACTTAAGTCTCTAAACAACACTGTTAGAGTGCAATGACAGCAGAGGTTGTCATTCAGTGTGGCTCTACGTCAGTTGAGCTGATTTTTCAGTAATCAAGAGATTTGTTTGAAAGGAAACCAATATGGACTCTGGTAATTCAAGACAAATATATATATCTTAATCAAGTTGTATCAATTTATGCGTATATTATGTGACTGATTCCAATAACAAACGACCAAAAACAAGCAACTGGCTAATTATCTTCTTTTTTTTGTTTAGCGGTTTTAAGCATTCGACTTAGATACTTTTTGCAGCGACAGTTGGCATCACTGTCAAAAGCGCACAGAGACAATGCTAAAAACTTACTTTGGCGCCATTTCCATGCCATTTTCACGCACACGCACATATACTCCCCACATAGACACACACCAAGGCAAAAGATGGCGGCCGACGTCACCATTTTGTTGATGTTCAGGTTCAGGGCTGCTGCTGCTGTTTTCTATTGTTGTTGGAACTTTTATTTATTTATGCTCTTTCTCGGCTTAGCGCTGCACGCTTCGCGGCGCACGCACAAGACCCAAGCACAAAGACACCCGCAACACCCCGCAACCCGCAACCGCGACCCCACAGAGCACCCCAAGCTGTTGTAAAGATTTCCCGCCACCCGTCTCGATGTCGCGTCGGCACAATCCTTAT